AGAAAACAAGGATCATTTAGGGAGTTGTCTTTGAGATTACACTAGAACCTAGTACAACTGAATACACACCAGCCAATCAGTCTTTTTTATTTTTACAAACATACAGTCGGTGCTAGTGGATAGCACCACCTATTTAAAGAATAAAGTAAAAGATGACTAATCATCAGTTTTAGGCACTATAGATTGTGATCCATTATGCAGTACCATGATTGAACATAGTTTGGTCCTACATTCAGTCTTCAGCTTGACAATAAGTCTAAACCTGCAACAAATTCAAGTAATCTTCAGAAACACAGAGAGTAATACGCCGACTAAATATTGTACAACCCCACAGAGCCTGATGTCAATGATATAGTCAGTGCTTGATTTCAATAAAAAATAAAAGAGGCCACTTCCAACAACTGGTTGCCTTAATAAACTGACAGTAGCATATTCTACTGTTTTAGTATACTGAAGATTCTAAACTATTACATTATTCTTTTAAAACAATCCTGTGTGTGAGTTTGTGTGTGCATATGCATGTGTGTCTGCTTTAGATATAATCAGGATTGACAGCAATACCGTTTACCTTGATGTTTACGGCTTTGAGCAGCTTGGCAAGGAAAAGCTTGTTCCAAGATTCAGAATAGAAAGAAGCCTATTTGAGCAAGTTCATCTTGGGAAAATACCAGAGTGACATGACTGACACACACGTGGGCTTTAAATGGTTCCTCTCCGAAGAAGAAATGAGTGAGAGGCAGTAATTCAAATGTTTCAAGTAAAACCCAGAAATGGGACATTTTTATGCCTCTGAACATCATCCATAAAGGAATATGGTGCGTCTATCTCTCTCTCACACACAATGCATTTAAGGCATTCTCCTCACTGTCAAGATTCTGCACCTTAAATGATGCTGAAAGGAGTGTTAAGAGAACAGTGTCAGATTTTACATCTTAAGTGTACAATTGGAAAAAAATATATATATATATACATATATACAGTATATATATAGTATTGTAAACCCCACAGACAAAACATTCAAACCAAACTGTGTCTTCACATTGCTGCTTCTGCCCATATAAGAGCTTTGTTCCATCATGAATATTAAAAGATAAGCATATAAATCAAACATTTAAAAAGAAACAAGTAAAATCCCAGATGAAGCAGGATATTTCCTCTCTCCCATATCTTAGAACATCACTACAGCAATAACAATAACAGCTGGAGGATCTTAAAAAGAAAACAAAAAACACCCAAATGTATTTTGTTTTGCATACATTATCTCGGCATAACAGTTTGAAGCTAATCCTCCAACACCTTCCTAAATTGAGCCATGGCAACAGCCTGGCTCAGATATTATTATGAATAATTTATGGTACCCCATTTCAAAGAGCCGAGCAGAAAAGCTAACTATTTTGGGTTTAACTTACATTTTTTAGGTCTGCAGGTACACCGTGCAGTTGCTGGGTCCTTGTGAGGGACTTTGAATAACATTCAATCCATGCTAATATTATTACAGCATTATTATATATATTGTATGCTCACTATGCAATTCACTTTGCTACGATCAGGTGAAGGTTTTTTAATCCAGACTCACTCAGATACACGCCAGATAAGTATGCAATAACATGTCCAAGTTTCTGAATTCCTGGTCAGAATTTCTGTTGGATGAGGGGTCCAACGACTGACATCGAGGGATGCTGTTAACGCAGGTTAAAGGTGTTTCCCTGCTTTAACACACACAGTTCACATCAACGTGCCAATAGCAGAGCTTGACAATCTTCAGAATTGATCAGAACCAGATGTGTTGAAGCAGGGAAACAGGATAGCAGCTCCACTGAATTTAACACCTAAAAAAGCCAGAAAGAAATTTAATTTATAAAAATAATATTAGAACACTAATCCATATGCACTCTGAAACAGATGCAAAATATTGTTTCCAAGAAAAACTCATAAAGAATGAATCCACAAACTTTTCATAGAACCAAAGATGTAGTCATCAGCATCTAGGACAAGGCTTGTCACCCTGGTAACAGGAGGTAGCAAGAGGTTCTGGCAGAGAAATGTGAAATGAGCACAACTACTTGACACCATATAATCAGCAGATGACAAGCTCTTCTCATCCCGTGATGTCAGGGCATAATTTCAATACATTACATTTCACCATCACATAATGTTAAGAAGTACTTCTTACTCCATTTTCTTCTGGGAGATCAGCTTGGAAATGTGAAACCATATGTTCAAAGCAAGATTAAGACTGCTTCATCAAGACACTGACCCAAAACACTCCTCATTTTTCATAACAAAGGAAACAAACGACAGCGAAGACTTGATACTGTCCTCATTGTCTCTTCACAAACCTCGCAAGAAAAGTGCATACAAGACCTTTGTGGGAGGAATTGGCAAAAGCCATTTTAGCTGCCTATAAAAAGCTCCTTGGTACTTTGACCATTTATAGCCCAAATGTTATTACGCCACTATACTTAGATCACAACCAAGAGATAAAATATCTATTCAAAAGCCTGCAGCTTGTAATATCTAAACATGATATTGCCTTTTCTTTCCTTTCTGAGCCTACACATAGCATCTGTGGATGTCTGTGCGCTGCCATCTCAGATGGTGCTGTTGATCCTGACATTTGTTTAACATTCCCCCCCCCCCCCCCCCCCCGTCCCACGGCGATGCGCTGCGCACCTTTTTACCTCTCTGTTTAAATACACTTGCCAATATTGTAGCTCCTTTTTTCTTAATTAGAAATCAGAAACGTGCCACGGAGCGAGGGAGACCAGAGAGGAGGACAGGTAGGGGCTTAACTTCTGGAACACGCTACCCTGAGGACGTGCTCGCTGGGGGGATGGCAACATCTATCTTCGCTGACCATAAGAGTCACTTGAATGTGTTCCTGAATGTGACTGGTTAAGAACCAGTCGAAGCGCGTCAAGCCTCCCTGGTGTGATAACCATTAGCGCTGGCCTCACTGTGCGATGTGACGCGAGTTGTGAAGTTGTACTATGCACCGTGGAGCGAAGAAATGTGTGAAAATGTGTCCATTTACACAGAATCCAAGAAAGGAAAACAACAGGTGCCAAAATAAGGCTTTCCTGCCAACAGGAGGTAAAAAAAATAGACTAGTTAGACATTTTCTTCCATTTTCTACCATCTTCATTGGGGCCAAGAGAATCCTCTCATTTGAATGACTATGGATTTTGATAGAGCTGACAGGTGGATGACCTAGGTATCTCATATGAAATTAAATGAAGCAGGCTGTCTTCCAGTTCAAAAGAGAACAGGACAGATAAAATCACATGGTTGACTTCTTGTCAGGACTGATTTTTTGAGGATCAACTTGAGGGGCTACTATGTATTCCTCACTAGTGATAACCCCCCCCCCCTCCACTGGCAGCCACGATAGAAGTCTCCTTCATCCATCCTGTTTTAGTGTGGCAGAGAGCAATGCAGAAAGAATTTGTCTATGCGCTGAAACTGAGAGAGAATCCTTCAATATAAAAAAAAAAAGAAATGTTTCTCTGGACTGACAACTTGTGTGTGCCTCTCAGCAGCCAGACAGAAATCACAATCTAGGATTCAGAATCATTTCTGATGTGTGCAGGATGTGCAGACAGCATGATGTGGGAAGTGCCACTCGTGATGGCTACGAGGGGGAAAAAAACAAGCGTAAAACTCAAATGTTTTGTGCCGATAATACAACAGGTTTTTGGTGGTGTTTAAGAGTGGGCAAATGGATTAAAGATCGTGGAGACAATCTGAGGGTCCGTCCCCCCCCCCCCCCGGCCGCCCTTTTGGCTCTGCTTTTGAAAGCCGGGTGGTGTCCGAAGCTGCCGTGGACCCAGGCTGGACAGCAAGCTCGTTTTTGTTCTCCCCCTTCACATTGCCAACTCCAGCTGTCACACCGAGGGACAATAAAAAAAGAGGAGGGGGTGCTCGCTGAATGGAAAAAATAAACTGGAGAGCCCCCGTCACACAGCCCCCCTCACCACGACTCGTCATCTGCATTTGACAGGACCCCCGTTCTCCTCTCTTCACCACCCCTTTTCTTTTGCTTTCTCCTTTTCTCTCCTTGTGCTCTCCATAATCCCCCTTTCTCGTTCTCTCCCTGCTAAGTGCAGCTGTTGCTCTCCATTGGATCTTTTTTTTTTCAGGCTGATTGCTAATTAGGATAGCATTTTAGAGAGTTTTATCTAAAAAACTTGTTAAACTTGCAATTTTCCACCCCTTTTTTCTTTAGCCTGGCAGATCTAAGAGGGGCGCAGAGAAAAGACTTTGCCAATTACACATAATTTGCACAGGCAGAGCATTTTTCAGAATGCACCTAATCTCCAGTGTTACATTCATATAGTTTACAACTACTGTACTGTGTAGTAGGCTCTTATTAAAGTCCGCACTTCAGCTTTGAATGCAAAAGCTTACTTTGAAGAATAGACTGCCCCATCTGCCTTATTCTGCTCACATAACTGAATCCCTGGGAGAGGGAGCATAGGAAAAGGAGAGCCTGAGAAAACAGCAATTCACACACCAAACACAGAGACCCCTAGTAGCTCAACAAATGAGTGACTAGCCCTATGTCCATTCATATCGTCCCTCGGCCCGCAAGCCTATTAGCCAGGCATCGCTCCTTGAACATTCACTGTCGACAACATGTGGAGGCATCGCTATAGCAACCAGTGGATATGACATGTGCAATGGACGGGGACTCCTGAGCTGCTGAATATAAGGAGGGGCTCAGCCTTAACTAAATGATCGCAAAAACACCCAACCCCACCACCTCCCCGTCTCTTTTCATTGGCACAGAGGAGCTGAAAGGACGCACTAGTGGGGCTTCTGCACATTCTTCCGAGGCTCGGAAAATCAGGCGGGCATATCCCACATTCTTCTCCCCTTTTCTTATTCTCCCCGAGTCTCTTTTTTTTTTTTTTCTTCCTTCCTTTTCTTCATCTATACGTGTTGAAGCCGCCGTCTTTTGTTGACGCTGGGGGACGCATGGGACCCTCTGAGGGAAACTTTTGCTCTTGCGGACTGAGTGGGCGGCCGGGACGCGCAGACGCCTCTCGGAGCCGCGGTGCGCGTCAGTGGATCCCCGCGCTCTCTGGAATACACCCGTCCACAGCCAAACGCGCTCTTTGCCCCGCGACATGGATTTAGGTAATTATCTCCTCGTTCCAAACACGCACGAGACTGTTTTATGTAGTAGTCGTTGTGCATTTAATGCGCAAAAGCCTCCTTTTAGGACGGACGCTGGAAACTCAAAAGACGAAGGCTTTATGTCCAGTACGAATTTTTTTTAAAACGATAGCGTTTTGTGAGATATTTTAGGAGTGCTGCTTTTGTGGTATCGTAATATTCCATCCTTTCTGTGTGGTAGCTACGCGTAACGTGAATCTCCGTGTGCCTTTGGAGCGACAGAAACGCACGGAGAAAGCTCATAAGAGGGTTTTGGGTCCGGTATTTGCTGTAAGCACATCTGGCCACAGGGAAAGTTTCTGCATGTTCGTCCTCTTCAGTGTCCGGCAGTCGCCTCAGCTCTGAACCACGAGAACAAAGTGGGTGCGTGAAAGCAGCCTCTAGCTGAGGAATAAGACGCAACTCAATTGTAATGGGTTTTTGTTTGTCTGTTTTTGTTTTTGTTTTTTGTGTTATTTGTTTGGTTGGGGATCTCAGTGCAGACCTGATAGAAAAAAACAAATTAATTTTTATCATGTTTCCAGGGAACATGGGGTTTGTCAGTATGGGGCCTCTAGCTCTTAGTTACTATTTCAAAATTGATCATCATTCTCGTTGGTTTCAAGGGGAAAAGGCTCAAAATCTGACCGACTTTAACCATTTTTCTTTTTCCTGTTTCTGTTCTTTATATAGAAAGTAATAATTCTCCTTTTATTGAATAATCTGCCTAAAATATAACTGATGTAATTCTACAAATCTACAGGGGGAATTCAAACTTGGAAAAATATCACCTTGTTTAGAGATTGGAGATGGTTTGGCAGGTGCACATTTGGGTTGATTTTGCTCTTCTTAAAGGTTATTGTGATGTGAATGAATGGACAACACCTCCCGGCCTGACCTTCCTTCTTTTCATTTGAATAATCTAGAGCACCGAAATCCATCTGCGTCTTGTGTCCTCTCAGATTGGTTAATTCATCAGACAACAGCTACAAGAATAGGGGGGAAAGCAGAGGGGAGAATATCTGAAACAGGGAAGAATTAGATTGGATCTAATTATTGAACAGACGCGAGACAAAAATATCGATGTTGAGTCAGAAAGTGTTTTTTTTTTATTTCTTTGCTTTATCTTTCAAATTTAAAATGTAGATTTTACCTGAAGGAAAAAACATGTTCATTTCACTTTTCCACTTAAGTTCCAAAAACAGATATTCAACCAAAATAAAAAGCATTTAAATAGAATAAGATAAAAGAATAGGAAAATTCCTATGTTCTATCCTGACTGAAAAAAATATTTATGTTTAAGTATTCATAGAGTACTTTTTTTTCATAACCAAAAAATGTGTGAATTATGGTCGGCCTTTGATATTTTCAGGTGAAGCAAACTCCAGTTATCATCAAAGTATTGCACAAGTAAATACATGAATGCATTCAGCAGATAAATACATATGATAAATTATATCCTGAAAGCGAACTCTGAGAGCCCATGAAAGTCATTCACATCCCACATCTCCTCCCTTTTCCACCTCTTTTTCTTTCTTTTTGTCCTTCTTTGCTTCTCACACGATTGTCGCCTTCAAACAGTCTTTTATGCTGCAATGAATTTCAAGCCTGTTTGCTTTCACAGTGGAAATGTTTTTCATTCATTTCAAGGTTAATCTTTTTCAAGAAAAGCCGGGGACAGAGGGCTTCTTTTTTGATTAACTTGATTATACTTTTTCTTGAGCAACCAGATGAGCGTGTGCTTTGCCTTTCAAGAGTTGATTTTAATTTGGAGCCAATCTGATTTTGAAACACTGCATCAGCGTTGTGTTTGTAGCATGTTTTAATAAATGTTACATGCAAAGAGAGATTTTCTCTTTCTCTATTTTTTTTTATTCAATATTTTTTACTGTGTGATCATGTCAGAATCGGTCTGTGGAGATAAGCATTCCAGGAAATGAAAATGTTCCTGCTGTCTGTGAACCCATCTGATCACCGAACAGAGCCACACAGGTCTCTGCATGGAGGCTTTTTCTCCGCTCTGCATCTGCATAGAAGCCTTTTTAAATCTCTCAGTTGTTGTCTCATCCCTTGCTTGATTTAAACTGCATGTTAGAGCCACGGCAATTGCAATCAACTGCTGTCGAGCCCAGCAGAGTCACCAACAGACCTGCATTAATACACTGACCGTTTTGAGCCACAAGGTCAAACCGAGTGTCTTGTTTGGAAAATAGTAAAACAAGATGTAGCAAACCTTCAGCTGGCCCATTAGACCCCTCAGGCTAAATGTCAGAGCTGTTCCTTTTCTTTTTTTTTTCTAGGTGTAGATTTGATTCTCTGCACCTATCAATCTTTCAATATTGCATGCAGACAATTAGGAGCCTGCTGATGCATGTGTACTCTGTTATTGATATTGCCCTTTTGCAGATGTATGGCCGTTGGTGTGTGTGGAGCTGGTAAGATTAGATCAAAGTCTGTGGAGGGCTGACTTAGACAGGATCCCCGTGTATTTATGTCAACGGTAGGACAGTAAGGGTGATTCATGTGATGTAAACTGCTTCTGTCAAAATGTATATCCCTGTTTTTTATATTTGTGGGTTTGTTTGATTTTTTTTTAAACCAGCTTTATGGGATGCCTTTGCAATCGACGTATAACCCGTCGTCACAATTGTGCGATCTTTGATTACCCTTCCTCATTATTGCTCGTAATTGTTCCCGGCGTGCCCTCAAAATGTTATGTATCAGTAAGATCTACAGGGAATTTTCTGTATGCTAAATCTGCAGGAAATTGCAGTTGTGCTCCAGTGACAAATATACTTTACTGCTTGCTTTAACATGCATTGGGAGAATCAGTTTTTGAAAAAAATATTTTCTTCAGCTGGCGGGTGTGTGAAGGTCCACTCTGGCCTGCCCCGATAGCCATTAGCGGCGAAGCTTTGGACAAGGCCTTATCCAGCTAAACTCAGGACCGGAGTAGCTAATTAAGCACAAGCTTTTAGTGTCCCAGCCTCCTGCAGCTGCACTGTGCCAGCCCGCCTCATGCCAGCAGCAAATGGGGTTGTAAATATCTATAGTGGGGGCACAGACAAGAGACAGGACTGGACAGGGGCTGGTAATAGGGGTTGACGGAGCCTGAATGCAGATAATAAGGTGAGTATTAGAGCCGTCTAATGTGTAGGGCCGGTCAGACTGAGGGGGCCCTCGCTCCACCACTGCGTCTATATTTCCCCATCAGAAAGTCAACACAAGTCGTCAGGTTGGAAATTGATGGAGCGCAAACTTGATATGGCGGCTGCAGTAAATCAAAAAAGACCACATCAATCCGGAGAAAGACAGAGTGGCATCGTTTACTGATTTGACGGCGTGCTCGCTTTCTGTTTGTGTCTGTCCTCCAGAGGGGCAGCCTGACCCAGATCCCCGTGGTGAAGGAGACCAGGGTGGAGTCGGGCCAGTTCCTGCTGCTCTCAGTGCTCTGCATGCTCTTCATCCTGGTGGCGCTGGCCGTATCGGGCACTTTCTTCTGCGTGCGCCAGCGCTCCCACCTCCACATGAAGGAGAAGCTGGCCAGCCTGGGGACTGACACCAGCACTGACGCCACCGCAACCTATCAGGTTAGACCAGCCCCCTCGCCACAAGCCAATCAGAGGCCTGGACACTTAGCCGGTGCTCTGCCATTGGAGGAACATGCATTCTTTTCAGATACAGTCGACTAACCAATAGGTCTAAGTGAAGATGTTTGTCCATGTGTGCATTTACTACACTTTGGGTAGATTTAGCGACAATTTTTGCGACAATGATAGTCATTTTTTACTATCATTGTCGCTAGTAAATGATAGTAAATGATTGCATCAATCTAATGTTCAAAGCAGCCATATAAAAATTCTTAAGCTTTTCATTTTATTTCAATCTATCTTTAATTCTGAATAAAATCACTTGATTCTTATTTCTTAATGACAACTATGTGTGCGTTTGTAAGGGTACCTGTGTGAGACGGAACCACGTAGCCACTCTGACCTATTCCCTCTGTTCCTCCAGGGCAGCGGGCAGCCCGGCCTGTATTGATTTTCAGGGTTGAGGCTCAGCTGTGCCCAGCGTGGCACTCAGAGCACATTTATCTGCATGTCACGTCAACATTTTCAATATTTAATCAAGTTTTCAGTGGACTGCTCTCTGAAGCCTGAGGTGATATATGATTAAAAAAATAATCAGAAACAAGCATAAATATGAATTATTTTTCACTAACAGAAATCATACAACATTAAGAACTTGCATTGTTTCTATTTAGGATGAACATTTTCATTTCTAAATGGACTCTTCAGGACTGTGAGACCTTCTGTATGTGAGCAATGCTTTTGACATGAAGTCATTTAAGGAGAGCTGTCTGCAACAAGCGAGCCTTGCTATAAGATGGCAGCACATGCTGTATGGTTTTTGCTTCCTCTTGGCCTGCTTTCATTCTTAGTAGCAGTCTGAGGGAAGGGGCAACAGGGAACCTGTGATCCTGTGACCTGGGCTCCTCTCTGGGCCGCTCTTTGTCTCTGTTCTGGCACTAACTGCATCTCCCAGCCATCTTACGGGACAATTTCTCAGCTTCACCACAGCACTCTGCAGAGAAGCTGAGAAGTGGGATGAATTATGAGGTGGACCTGGATGGTGCCCTGAGGCCAAGGCCCTGGGCACCGCTTCACGGCTCTAATCATTAAAGTCTGATGGTGGAAAAGCTGATCCAAGACCAGGGCTTATAAGGGGCCCTGTGCTCCAGAGGGAAATATCACTATGATTCATCATGAGATAGCATGTGCCTTCACAAGGCATTTTCAGACCTCCCAAGCCACACTACTATTTATGGAGAATGGAAATTTGTTATGTGGAGGGGACTGGTTTTTATGCACATAATGTCTAAATATTAAGGGTGACCACTTCTCATGAAGATGCCAAGATTAATATTTATAGACTGGACATATTTACCAGACTGCTTTTCTCCTGTATATTTCTTTATGCTGCATTAGAGCAGGACATTTCTTCTCTGTACAGAACCATTGGAGAAAAATTGAGTCATTAGGAGGGGTGCAACGCCTGTAGAGACTCTTTTAGCAAGACATGAGAAGATATCAATCAAAACACAAACGTGGGCTTCACAGTTGTGGAAGCATTTTTAGCTCTTATGGCTCTTTGGATTTATTTACCTCTACTTATTTTTTATTCTCCCATCATGTGTCTACGTCTGCAAAAAAAAGGATCCAGATTGTGCTGTTTTGAATAAATAATTCCCTTTTAACTCTACAGTTAGCATGTGTTTTGATTTTGCCCTAGATTTTTTTTCTCACAACGGGGGAAAAAAAACATTAGCAAACAATAAAGAGAGTTGCTGTGTGGCAGCAAGGTGTGATATTTATTCTGTAAGTAATGTACAAAACCTCCACCGTGAATTTCTGACATAATTAGTATAAGCTCCATAATCCACAAGGATAAGCCATTAATCTACAGACAAGTAAGCAGAGATACTGGATTTTACAAGGTACATTTTTAGAGCGCAGCCCCTTACAGCAGAGGATAAGCACTTAAAATACATAAACTATTGTTATGTGCATGACAAAAAGATAAACACATGAAAGCTTGCAAAGATTGAGAGGGGAAGAACGGCGTTTTTTGATTATCCGGTCCGTCATTTTCATCCTCCCCTGCAATCCCCAGGAGCTGTGTCGCCAGCGTATGGCAATCAGGACGTCGGAGCGAGTTGAGCGGCCCGAAACCCTTCGCCACTCTCGCCTGAACAGTGTGTCCTCTCAGTTCAGTGATGGCCCCGCAGCCAGTCCGTCCACACGCAGCAGCACCTCCTCCTGGTGTGAGGAGCCAGTCCCATCCAACATGGACATCTCCACTGGTCACATGATACTGGTAAGCGTGGCAAGAAGCCAGGGGGGAAAGAAAGTGTGCCCTTGGAGAAAATATGTTTCCCTTTCGGTTGTTTCTGTTAAATAGCACCTCAGTCTCATGACTGAGGTTAGCCTATCGGGGTTGGGTTAGTCTGAAAGGTGTGAAAATGATGTTCATGGGAGCTACAGTAGGTCAGATAAGTGTATGAGATGTGCATACGTGTGCATCAAAAGTTCCTTCCTCAGCACCCCAGGAAGAAAATGGATTGTGGACTGCATACCGTGAATTTATTCAGAAAATAAAAGAAATAACAATTTGGTTTTATTAACTCTTCATTCCTAAAGTCAGCCAAAGGGAAAGTGAATAGGTGTTGCAGATTTTATATGAAAATAAGAGAAAGGAATACAAGAATACACAATATAAATCAGTGAGTCAGTAGAATGCTGACATTGTTTGCCAGTGTAAAGTAATTCTAGGTGATGGGCATTTTTTCAAAAGAAAAAGTCAACTGTGAATATTTTCCAAAAGCCATAACAGGCAGTTAAGGGGAAAGTTGTTGAAATAGAAAGGCAAAACTGATGGTTTTCTAACTCTATTTAACGATGATTATGTTAAAACAATGCGCAGTTACGCATGAATCCACATTTGTCGCATAATGTTCAACTCCATGAGCTCATCCTTTCGAGGAAAGAAAAGGTTGATCTATTCTAATATTGACTGAATTCACATTACAGTAGATTATTTTAAACTCCCCATGTCCATGAATATCCTTGCTCTGAAAACCAGCAGCATTATTTCTCTCGGTTTATCTGTTTGGCTGCGTCTCTTTTTCATCCCACTCTCAGCTCGTTCCTTTCAAAACCATGTTATCTTCATTTTTTTCTTTCATCACTCTTCCCGCTGTTTTTTCCCCTCTGCTTTATCTTGGTTCGGTTGTCTTCATTTTTTTTCCTCCCCCGACTTTTTCCTCCGTCTACTGTGACATTCTCTCTCTTTATCACTCTGTCCTGGTCCTCTCCTCTCTGTCATTTTCATCTTTCGCCCCTTCTGCTTCTCTCACTGCCACTGCAAAATAAGCCAGACATTACTTTTGTGTGATGAGAGCTGCACAAAAGTGAAATACCATTAGCTACTTTATCATTATTCAGACTTTTTAGAAATTCTGTTACGTGGTATGTATGCTTTTTTTATTAATGAAAAAGCTTTTGGATGTTAATGTTCCCACAAACACACAATGGATTGTTTTAATTTTGCACAAGTTTACTTGAAACAAGCTTGATGAAAGAGGTGGATAGATGCCTTGCAGTGTTTCCATTAATGGAGAGAGCATTCATCACACTGCATGTCTAGCTTTTATACTGGGAGGCTGTAATGAATGAGGGTGAATCTGAGTAATGCCTCGTATTGGTGGTAATAGATGGGTTTTGTTGCACTCGTCAAGGCTTGTTTGTGAAGACCCTTTTGAAAACACTGACAATAGAAAAGCATTTAGCCGCGCAAACAACAAAAGAGCCTGGGTAAATCATTTCTAGGAGCTGTTGTTATTATTAGTCCTCGTTTCTTTGCAGCAGAAATGCAGGCATTAGAATATAGAAAGGTAAAACGCACTGGGACCTTTCCCTCTCTTTGATGCTGTGATTGACAAGGAGTTGTCCTATAGGGACTCTTCTTTAAAATTCCACTGCCATCTCACGTGAAACCATGTGTGAGATTGCCTTGTTATCACTGATCTCAGACCTATATTTCCCCATATCTGCTCTCCTCTTCTCTCATCTCCCTCCGCTGCTCTTTGGAGCTCACACCGTGAGGAGAAGGATGATGAATACGCAGCTTTCCAAAGCACACTTGCTGGGGGTCCTTTTTCTTTGAGGCCCCGTCACCTCACGCTCTCGCACGCACACGCACAAACGCGCACGCATTGTGAAACCTAGGTCCCGTCAGGATAAATGAACCGCAATGTTATCTGCCACTATGTGGCCCACCTTAAGGCTTTAAGACTTTAAAAGTCTTGCATAACTACTGTAACTTCGGAACACAAATTGGTGGCTTCTGTGTGCTGAGTCATTTGTTGCTTTTTTTAGGGATGTTTTATTTTTTGTTTTAACACACCCTTGCCATCTTAAAAATGCAAATGCTTTGTTTATAGATCAAATGACTTATTCGTATATACATGTATGATATTTAGAAATATATATGTATATATAAACATATACACACCTACATATCAATATAATATTTATACAAAAGATATACACAAAGTACATGGCTTTATTCCTACTAAATGTAGTATTTCAGCACCATGGACAGCACCTCACAGTCTGCAGAAACGTTTCCAGAATGAAAACATTTCTGTCTGAGCTGAACTGTTGAAACAGTTGCCGTTCCTTAGCTTAGCCACTTCTGTTTTTAAATCAATAGGTGAGCTGCTTGAGGCTCTTTGTCGTCAGAAGTTCTTCTTTTTTTGGGGTGGGGGTAAATTATTTGCTCACCATGAAAATAGATGTTCTGCCCTCAGTGACTTTTGCTTGGATTTTTATATTTGCTTTGTGGGCACAAAACAATTTGCCCTCCCATTTAAGGTAACACAATATGCTCCTTTCATTTGGCTGTTATTTGTTACACAAAACACAGTGCATGGTAATGCCCTTTTCGCATCTCACAGCTGCTTATCATATCATAAAGCTCCCTGCACAAACTGCTACCAGCATTTTAATTTGACAGCAGAGCTTGACAGCAGTGTGTTACCTGTTGTGTGTGTCTCGCCTGGTCGTGCCTTCATCCTGATTTCACCCAGCACCCTTCTGCTGCCGAGGAGACTGCTCAGGAAGGATTAGACATTGTTTCCCTGACACTCAGGCCTCCCATCCTAGCCCTCTGATTGGCAGACATAATCCCCCCATTCACCCAGCCTTCGTTACCCTGTCTGTGGAATACGCCATGGTCCACTGCCTCCCCCTAGAAACGGGAGGGCTTGATAAGGGCCTGCTGGCTGCATTGCATTAAGCTGCAAAAAATATGAATTTGGAATGCAATCGATTCAGGGCATCGTTTGAATAGAATGGGATGCAATTCCGAGTGGATATATTGAGTACATGGAGATGTAATGTTGGTTGGGGAGGTGGGCTGCTGTCAGGCTGGAAAGCATAGAGTACTTGTATGGGGCGACAAGAGCGTAGTGGTGACAGGCTGTGTCAAGTGGCCATAATGGCATGCTGTCATTTTCCTGGAAAGACAGGCCTGTGTGTTTATGGAGACAACACACAACACATGCAGAAACACATGGGTTATCCACAGTTGGAAGTCACACTAACTTGATTTTCTTATTTGTGCAGCATTGGACGTATGGGAATGAAAGATTTGAGAAGGGAAACAGTTAAATACGAAATTAATATTTCTTTAGAGCACTTTTTAGCTAGAATCTATCATTATGTTACAGCATTAGTCTTTTTTATGCTTCTAAGTCTTGCTTTTAAAACCTGAGCGACACCTTTTTTCTCTAACAATGAACTGTGATTTCCATTGTCTGTAGGATTTGTCGTGTTTTTATAAGCCATCTAATATCCTTTGCATGAATGCAGGAGAATTCTGCATTTGTGATCTATCAAAGGGTAATTGCCTGTTATATGCTGGACGAGCTTATTTGTGATAATCATCTCGGTATAATTGTATATATTCTGCAAACACCTCCCTCTTGACAAACTGGAGGGAATAATTTGGATGTAAGAAAGGGCTGTAAGCTCTCTGCTCATCCGTGCTATATACTGCTTTTGATATGGAATAAAAACCCACACATCTGGGTATCAGCATCATTGTATTACCAGCTGATCCCTGACATCAGTTTATGAGTCTATAATCTTCTATCTCACACAATAGCAGACTAAACCATTTAACCCCTTTGGGAGGGGAGCTATGATACAGGGAAGAAAACTAAACATGGTGCCATGCTAAAAACAACCCTTGTTGCCAGCTACGCACCCCGAGCTTGTCCTGGTTTAGCAAAATGTTCACATACACACACACACAGGCCTTTACCCTTCCCCCTTTTCTTTTTCCATCTTTGTCTCTCTCACGAATTCAATTTTGTCTTCTCCAAGCGACGGCTTAAATGCAGACAATCTTATCAGTGGCTGTGCAAGCAGGGAGGGACGTGATTGAAACACCCCTGAAGTATTTCCAATGCAGACAAACCTTTCAGGAGTCTTAATTGTGTGTTTTATTTTCTTTTTTTTCTCATCTTGGTCAAACAAACAGTCGCAAACACACAAATACACCAACATTAGCACAGCTAGCTCCTCAGCAGCCTCCTCCTCACCCAGTTGTCACACTAGGCAGCACAAGGATAATACATCTTCAGGACAGCTGATCACGGCTTTAAACGAGAGGATTCACTGTTTACTCCTATTTGTTTATCGCATTTGAAATACAATTAAAAATTGCAAATGACGTTTCCAGAAACCTCTAATTTGGCAGAAATGAACTACTGTAGGATTCCTGTTTAATCAATCCAAATGTTCCCCACAAAAACAAATATCCCCTTTTACAGCTGGATGTTGATATAAATTGGTTTTCTTCCGCATTGCTCTGGCTTGAAATGGGGGCTTTCTGTTTTCCTCTAGTCGTACATGGAGGACCACTTGAAGAACAAGAACCGTCTGGAGCGCGAGTGGGAGGCGCTGTGCTCCTACCAGGCAGAGCCCAGTGCCTGCAGCGTGGGCCAAGGCGAGCAGAACTCCAAGAAGAACCGCTCCGACGCCGTGGTCGTGTGTGAGTGCACTCAGATGGTTGTTGCTTATTTCATATAATTTACAGGAATGTTCCCACAATAACAAGTCATGTAATCCATTAGTGTTGTTGGTGTATTTATGAACAGATGCTGCAAAGAAGGACATAAAATCAGATGTCCAAACATGCCAAACAACACTGTAAAATGTACTTTCCAAAAATGATATCCAAGTCACTCTTAGCCTTCCAAAGAGTGCCTCTTGCATTCATTTGTGAAGGGCTGAAGAGAAAAGGGCAGGTTATTTAGATGTTACAGTTGACTTTTCATCTTAAAAACTAACCAAAACAGGTAAATTTGCTTTTGATGAACTGAGCAGTTTTGGATAGACAAACAGTAAGACATGGATTTACCTACTGTGGTATTTGTCCTTTAATTATTCATCATAGCCATCCAGGCTATCTGATAATTGCTTCCTGACTAATTAGATTTATACATTCTAATGTTTTTAAATGACAGTAATATTCAGAGTTAGTGGCCCCATCCTCCAAATACATAATCATATTTTTCTATGTGAAGACTTTTGCAGGGATATTTACCAATGTTATATAATTTGCAAATATAGTATTTGTTTGTCACTTCTGCAGGTCTCAGATTTGAAAAAAATATTAAAGCTGCAGTGCACAGTTTGATAGCAACAGCACAAACCCTATCTGTATACATTTTTTACATAATCAAGTTAGCTCAAAGTTGTGCTGAACCATCACCAAATGTAGCTAAAAGATATGCATCATCTCAGAAGAAAAGACTTCTATACTTTGATTTGAAAAAGGAAAATAATGATTCTTATTTTGCTGATTTTTATTTGCAGTTTATGACTATGTTCAATAGTTTGGTCAGTCAGTACTGTGTGCTTGCAGGGACAGAAAGCTGAGCTGGCATTCCTTCAAATATGCAGCTCCTCCAGACGCACGTTAAAATCAAATTGTATAGGATTTAAAAAATGGCCCATTTCTCTATTTTATTACCTTGGTAAATCATAATAATCCTCTGATTCCATGTGTTTGATTAAAGCTTTGTTCATTTTGAGTTATTGACCCATTTGAAATTACATTTCCAATCGGAGAATCTTTAAGGTAGGGCTTTAAAGGATTAGCAGGCAATGAAAAGGTAGAAACCGAGGCTGCAGTTTGCTGGGTGACAACATGTTGGCATTCGTTTATTTACAGAACACAAGCTATGGTAACTGAATCAATCACTATTTATCTTATTCAAGGCTACATCTATTGAAAGCTGCAGTGTTGCCTGGTTACTGTCTGTCAATTTTCTCCAAACTGATCCAGTCCTGAACTCTTCATAAATAACACATAACATTTTATTTCTTCCTTTGTGTTTGTTCTCTTTTTTCTTATTTATTGATGACTGTAAGAAAAAAAACACCCAGGTTTTCATGGGCTTTGATTTAAAGCAAATTGAATTGAAGGAGACTTCTGAAGTGGGTCCAAGCCCACTGGAAGCATTATTCTTGCAACAGTTTCATTTGTTTGAGAAAAAAGCGATTTCACGGATTACAATTTGAATTCTTCTTGGAATAAAACAGTTATTACCTCAGTTGAAATACTACTCAATAACAGCAAAATAGTTCAGCAGGTCAGAACATTGTAAGTGTGATGAAGTCTGGTGAAACCTTACTTTTCCCATTTCCTGCCTGGACTTCTGTTGTTATTGTAAAGAAAGGGAAAGATATGGAAAAATGTTCAGAGCAAGTATGCATCTCCATTACAGATGATCATTCCAGGATCACCTTGAAGGCTGAGAATAACCACGGCAACTCGGATTACATCAATGCCAGTCCAATAGTGAGTACCGTTTCTCCACTTTGGCTTTCATTTTGGGTTATATCTTAAAAAAGTTAGAACCAACCTGCAGCACCTGCTGTTGTCAGATTTATCCAAGATCAGTTTTACTTTTCTTTTTAATATATATATATTTGAGTCTAGGAACCTAAGTGGATTTATTTTCTTTCTTGCATTCTTACTTTAACAACATATACTGTATTTTCATCCCCATGAGAAATAAATCTCTTTTTTTTACTAATAAAATGCATAAACACCACAAATCCAGAAAAACCTCAATGCTGGAGAGTGCTAAGGTTATTTGGGTGTTCGCGTGTATTTTTTCCCAAAACATTGTCAGTCATGATTTCCCCTGAGGCTGGTGAGAAGGGATTCCATCAAAGGGAACAGGAAGCTATGCATTTCAAATACAGTGCCAAAATTTCTGAGGAGATAGATTGGGGGGGGAACGCACAGCTGCTCTAAAAGCCTATTACTCTCCAGAAACAAACAACACAGACTTTCTGATGCTCTATTTATTCTTCCTGTTTATGCAATAGCATATTCATAGAGGATTTTAGCTTAAACAAATCTGTTATGTAGCATTTACCATCTTAGAGAAGAATATGGCTTACAAAAACAACCTGGGAAGGAAGCTAGCGAAGATTTAGTTTTTACAAAGTATCTAATGAAAAGTTAACTGGGCTATTTTGGGTTGGTTTAAAAAGCAAGAAGCCCAAGCGGATGTGGGAGATTGGTGAAGTCATGGCAGATGCAGTGGCGTGTGCATGAAAGGACAGCAATTACACCACAAAAGGGACCTCTGTCTGAGTCCAGCAAAACTGTGATAATTATGTCTGTCAATGCGGCTTCTTTCATTAGGTTCAGGGGCAGTGAGTAAATAATCTGCCACTTCTCTCTGGGAATGGGAGGTCAGAGGGGCGAAGGGAAGGCGATGCGTGCTCTGTTCGAAGCACTGGGTGACTCACAGCGAAAAGAAAGCCTGGATAATGGCAAACGCTTGACCACAAATGATGCAAGCACTCCCAGATGTACAGGATCATTAGCGTGAGGAATGGTTTAAAAGAATGTGCAGCGACACAAACTGTGGTCAGAGCCAGGTCATCTTTGTCTTCTCTGGTATTTTACATGTTCTCCATGCTTTTGTGTAAGACTTACTGGGATGAGCTCCAGCAGCCATTTAGTTTTTAGGTTTTCTAGCCTATAAAAGCACAGGATCAAGGCACTACACCAAGCTCCAGGAGTGAAGACATTTTTCCACAACCATTTGTTCCTGTTTATTCAGTCTGCACAAGCTAATGTTGTTTACTTGAATCCAAGATGATTCTCTGCCTTTCACATTTGTTTTGGTCTATCTTCTTTTCACAAAGGCAACAGGAGGACAGCTGCAATTCTGGACTACTCTTTCATGTTTCTGCTTTGGTATTCTTGCAGGGATGTCGGCACATAACTACAGCATGTCTGTGTCCTTGAGATTGGCTAAACCGAGTGGCTACCGTTCAGCATCACCCTTTCGTTTCCGAGGGGGAGATTTTTTTTTCTGCCCTTCCTACCCATTTTTCAACCAGGAAAGAGGAAGGGACTATTTAACAACACAATTATGGCCAATGAATATTAACATTGGACAATCAGCTCAATGTTTCCTACACTTACATTTAATTTTTGTGCAATTTCCTGTGAAGAAAGGCAACGTGTTTTTATGGTTGACAATGTCAGTAAATTATGCTTCTCCTTTGCCCACCAACTTGATTTCATTCATATCTCTGATATTTCATATATGATATATTTCAGCTCAACCTTATAAAAATGCTCTTAAATATGAATAAATAGTTGGCAAATAAACTGATATTAATCAATGGCTGTATGAAAATTATACATAACATAAAATAGACTTTAAGGCTTGTGAAAGTTACTATTAACTATATGTTTGAGCAAGAGTTTTTCAGTTCTTTCTGCCATCACTCTTTAATTCTGTTGTTCAGAATATTAGTCATGAGCAGGGAAAAATGTTACAGTGTTTCTAAAGCCATTAAGAAACGCTTTATAATTATTTTACTTTTAAGGGCAAATGTCGAGGTCTATGAGCGAAACAAATGAGTTCAAGAAAATGCACAAAGAACTGAAATGAATTTCTAGATCTCTCAGGCAACTGTAGGTGTCCTTCATAAGTTGTTAGAGCTGCAGTAAAACAGCTTCATACAAATGGAAAAAACTCTCCGTATGACCCTGTGACCCTCACATGCGGCTTAATGCTGTTTCTGTGTGACAAAAGGTGCTCGCATGAACCAGTCACGGGTTAGTTTTCCATTCGTTTCCTACATTTTCCTTATACAAGGCTGTTGCTGGAGGCTCAGACACATTCACAGACATGCTCCTGCCTATTGCTATCAAAAATATCTCGCTACCTTTTTGTCATTTCAGTGTAAAGTACACACCAATAACCCTTGAGACATGTTGCTTTTCATTCGAAATATGTCAACATGTTTCCACTGGCGCGTTCCGCATTGCTTGGTGGGAACTCATTCAGCAAAATGCAATGTCTGATTATGGGGCGGGTGAAGGGGCAGCCCGGCTAACATCTGCTCAATCAAAACCCAATCACATCCCTTAACTCAAGCCCAACATCTCATCACATCGCACCTGGACATTCAGTCCTGTGGTGTCAGTCACCTCCGGCTGTGAAGTCCTGCCACAACACCAGCCCTCGCTCACTTATTTGAAAGCGTGTACGGGTCTGAAGATGGTGTAGTACGCAATTATTACCTACTACTCCATCTTTGGTCACGTATACAAGGTTATAGAAGCTATCCCGTCGACCAAAAACCTTTTTTGCTTTCAAAAAGCTGTTGAATTGAGACATTCATCGTTCTTTTATGTAGAGAAAGTAAATGACATTGAAAAAATGTTATTTGTCCTTTTAAACTCTAAATGCGTAATTCTACTCTATATAATGATTAACTGTATAAATGGTACAGCAATATTTATATATTTATTTTATGCACGTGTCCTTGTGCATTCAACATCTTCTCTATCTCCAATAAAGGTTTAACTACCAACAATAGGGTTGTTTCCTGCTTTAATCAGAGCCATAAAAACAGCTCCATCTTGAGTAAGGCAGGATGTAGAAGGAAGATGAGAGAGAAGAACAAAATATAAGTGTTTTCTTTAGGAGATCTCCCTCATCCAGATGGAGGCTTTGATGGAAGCAGACAGTATGTTTTCATCTCTGTGTCTCCCCCCCAATCACTTTGTCACACCGTGTTTCACTCTCTCCCAGATGGACCACGACCCTCGTAACCCGACTTACATCGCCTCTCAGGGGCCACTTGCTTCCACAGTGGCAGACTTCTGGCAGGTACGTAAGCTGCTCATCCGCCGACTGCCTTTCATCTTTCGGCATCTTGTTTCTGCAGCTAGGAAACCTTTGAAGAAGCACAGCAGAGCCGCAATATGTGTGACCAAGTGGTGTGTGCCTTTGGTGCTCAGTGCTGCAAAAAAGTGTCCAGATGAAGGAGGATCAATGAAGTGATACGGCACGAGCAAAAGATGCCTGAGCCTGAAGATAGTTTTCATGTGCTGTGACTTGCATGTCATTATCTCGGCATGGCTTTTGTCATAATCACGCCGTTTGTTTGGGTATCAGAGTGATTTAATTAGAATTGTGTGACAATTTTTCAAACACACTGCAAACACTTTTAGCTAATTTGACATTACTTGATGATGAAATTTGCTAAACTGTGAACAAATGAAAACAAGAAAAGCTTAGTTTGTCGCAAATGCTAACAACAGTTGTTCTCATCAACTTACTCTATCCATTACAACATTAACTCCCTATTTACATCCTCCAGAGGATTATAGAAGCTGCATGACATAGATTAAGCATAACCGTACACTTTTAGCAAAGTTGTGTTTCGACAGCTCAAATGTTTTAGATTCCAGTCTAGATGAATAACGAGGTGTTTGCCTTATGTGTACAAGAGAAATCCACCATTTGGTTTCATTTAAAGGTCTACTAAGGTTTTTTTTTTTAACAAAAGCTGATATATGCTCATATATGGATTTCTTCTCAAATTAATTTGCATTCCATCCCTTGTCCATAAATGTCAAAGCAAATTGCCATCAATTACTGCCAACAGATTTTTGTCAAACAAATCAACTTGTGCAGAGGTTGTGCACCTTCAATGATGCATGATTGCCAAATGACATTCGTCTGTGTTAATAGGACAGCACTGCAGTAGTTAGTTAGTTATTAGTGGGCCCATCACCTCCACACTAACTCTGGCTAGCCATAATCAGACCATAGAATAGCAAGGCAGAAATCCTGGGGGCCATCCGGCCCTCCACTCTGCATCACATACTGTGCACATGCTCATTTTGAATCATTGGGATTTCTAATATGCGTATTTTGGGTTTGAAATTAGCCTTTTAAGAAGGACGTATGTAGCTGTTGAATCCTGAACGGCCATTTTATACCCACAACGCTTTGTCAAGCTTTGTCTCCAGATGATGTTAATTGGATTTAGATACTTAATCATTTGTTAATTTGTTTGTTTATTTCACTTTTTTCTATTCAAGGTTAATAAATACATGTCCATGAACTAATGAATTGAGCTGTTTAGGTAGGAACATAAATCTGTATCTTCCCCAATTAAGGACAGATAAAAGCGCATATGACACAGTTTTAGCGTTAGCCTGATCATCACTTCCATTTAGAGGAGGGGCAGTAACTTTTTATTATTTACCGCAGTCAACCTTGGAGTGTGGCAGGAGAAAAAAACACAGTCGTTACCCCATTAAAAGTAAACAAACATGGGAAACACTGGTGTTCTCATGCAAATAGACCATGCAGGAGGCAAATCTTTTTGCTCTCTCCTATCTAATCCACACCGGCCCCAGGCAGTGCTCTGAAAGGCTGTTTGGCTCTAATCCTCCACTCCTCATTCCACCATCCCTTCATGCTTTGCTCCTCCATCCATCTCCCCTCTATTACCTCAGCTCTGTTGGGTCTTCCAGCTTGCCTCTTCTGAGAGGCCAATCTACTTCAGTCCACAGAGCACAACTCAGGTCATTCTCAAGCTTTTAATGTCCAGTTTTTGTCTTTGGCTGATAATGTAGAGCTGATGCACGGTCCTTGGCGGGAATTGTTAATCACATTTTTAAGAATAGTGTTGCTCTGTCCACATGGCATACATAAGAACCCACTTTTACCTTGCTACCTGCAAATATTTTCTAAATTATACAAGACTAAATGGATAATATTCCCTCGCATTAGCACCTTGCCTAATTTCATCACATCCTGGCACAGTTGGCACAGTTGGTGTGTAATGTGTCCACTGGGCTGAATCACAGAAGCTTGTGATTAGTGTATTGTCAAGGCCATTGTGTTTTTATAGCAATCATAAAACCCACGTTTCCTCCTCATTTTCCTAATGGCTGCTGTGGGCCTGTATTTCTTCCCAAGGACACATTAGATTGTGATAAGATGAAATGGAGCAGCTTGGCGGTAGATGTTGTGATCTCGCTCAGACGACAGAGAGGGCGACACATGAGGTGCCCTCCCGCTGCTCCACCCAACATTTATCATTTGTCACACAGAAAGAGGTGACATTTATTTATACTTCCTGCACAAAGATCAAGAAATCAATTTTGCTCTAATTCAAGGCTTCGGTGTAACGCGGTGCTCCTAGTGGCTTAGTTCAGCAGCACGTTAGGCCTATTCAAAGTTGACGTGGGTGCACCTAAAGGGGTTCGTTGTATTCAGATGTGTGATGCAGATTTCTTTCCTTTTGTGTAGATGGTGTGGGAGAGTGGCTGCGTTGTTATCGTCATGCTGACCCCAATTTCTGAGAACGGCGTGAAGCAGAGTCACCACTACTGGCCTGATGAGGGATCAGATGTCTACCACGTATATGAGGTAAGCCAGTGCACCCAGGTTGAATACAAATACTTTTTTTTTCCTCTTAGGTTTGGGTTTTAGGAGGTGTAGTTGAATTCAATTATTTAACTAAGGCAAAGATGATTATTCGATATAAATTGCAATTAAAGGATTCCATACACACCTGATATTTACTGCATGATTACTGGGGCCCAATTAATTGAAAATGGATAAATTACTATGAGACGTTATGTTTGTTTGTTTGTGTTTTGTGTGTGTGTGTGTGGGGGGGGGGGGTTGACATTTGAGTCACAGCAAATCAAAGACTGTAACTGAGATAGACAAAAATAAATTAGATCAAATAACAGTATCATTGTCAACTCAAAATGGGAATATTTAGGCATCCATGGTTTACAGGGGTCTTTATTTTATGGGTCCGGAATTGGTTCTTTCATTATCAGAGGTTTGATGTATTTAGCAAGTTATTACTAGCAGTTTTCAACAAAGTGACCATAACATATACAGAGTGTGCTGTATCATTTCTACTTCCAACCTTTAGCTTACGATGCATCCACTGCTTTCTTCACTATTTTCATTTTGAAAACAGTTATATAAGTAGTTCCTAATGCTCCTAATGCATTTTGGGGGGAAAAGGTCAGAAACTCTCATCTAAGTGTAATGCACAAACCAGAAAAGAGAATGTTGAATGAAAAGAAATAACTGAACGGCTTTCAGTGGATCTCTTTATGTGCGTAAGACAGTGAAGCTGTTGAGTAACAATAAAATAAAAATTTGTAACTGTAAAGTTTCTTAAATATAGTATTTGAAAACTTTAGGACCATCAATCATAGACCACTATAGTTTGTTCATCACCAGTACAACAACATATTCAAAGTAAACAAATTATTTTAACATTCTTTAGTATCTTGTGTTACTTTTTGTCATCTAAAATGACTAAAAATACTCAAAATAACTGCAGGTATACTAACAGGGTTAACCCCACTTAATTATTGGTATGTTTTTGCACATATTTAGGTCAATCTGGTGTCTGAGCACATCTGGTGTGAAGACTTCCTGGTGCGGAGTTTCTACCTGAAAAACCTGCAGACTAACGAGACGCGTACCGTCACCCAGTTCCACTTCCTGTCCTGGATGGATCGCGGGATCCCAAACTCTGCCAGGACCCTGTTAGACTTCCGCAGGTAGACAGACGTTTCTGCCAGTCGGTCATACGATCAGCAGATTTCAGACAGACATCTTCACAGCTGGTCTTTTTTACCCTATGCCTGTTCTTAATCGCCTCCCCTTATATTCTACATTCTGTCAGCGCCTCTTCTCCCTTTTGTCCCTCTGCCTTTTGGTGTCCTAGAGAATGGTTGTTCTAATAAGGAGTGCGTTTCTGTACCATCCCTTTCATCCTGGGCTGATCTCCCTCACCTCCCTCCAGCACATGTGATGCAGTAAATTAACAGCCCCGCACTGCCTGGCTTGGCTTGGGAAAAAAAAAAGAATTAAAAAAAAGAAAACACCTCATTCAAACACCCAATTAAATGAGAGCTGTCTCACTAAAACAGGGGAAAGGGGGGAAAGCTAGTGACTGAATCACCTCGATATAATATGGTTTGGCAGAGGAGCACCAGTGGTTCCTCTGGGAAAACTCAAGAGGGACAGAAGAAGCCCTCCAAATAAGACTAGATGCATCAGATTGGAGGATGGATGTCTGTCCCTTTGGTTTGTAATGCAGATGAGATATTGTGTAGTGCTATCATGTCATGCCTTTCTGCTAGAGTCTGTCATATTCTGCTAAATTCAAGTGGGTGCAGTTTGCAGTGAGGTGCTCACAGATTTAAGCAGCGTTTCAGTTACAAACACATTGTTTGCCCTGCTATTAATATCTTTTTTTTTTAAGTTCATTTGATGTTGCTCTGGGTTATTGGACACTAAAGCTCTCTGATTAAGCGACTCAGAGGTGTCGACACAGCGTGCTCTAACATTTTTGGTTTCATAGTTTTGGCCAAGTCTGTATTTTGCGGTTGCCAGTGTCATTTTTGTGATGTTGCAGCTAGTAATATGAGCCCAGTTGCATAGTCACAAAAGTGATCATTGGAAACTGTGTCTCCTCAGCCAGGCCTGTGCACACACCGTCTTTCTCTCACTCCTGACTCTCTGTCTCCCTCCTCCTCCTCCTCCTCCTCCTCCTCTTCCTCCTCCTCCTCCTCCTCTTCTCACTGCTCCGTCCTCTGGCTTGCATGGGAACTCCAACCATCTGTATGATGTCTGACCAAGGACATGCTCTGACTTCACTGATGATCCGGGGTGCAAAACAGTCATAAGCTAAAGAAAATGCACCTTGAATGTGGCAAAACCTCAGTCAATAAAACCAAAACGTGACTGTAAAATGCATGAGCTGTGAAAAGTAAACGTTGTCAATACAAAATAAGCATTGGACCGCTCGTAATATATAACGTTTTCTCCTTTAATATTCAGGACATGGGTTTTAAGAGTACGTTTCAGAATTACAGTGTGGAAAAAACAAGCTGAGCTGTTAGTCTGTGATTTAAAACTGAATACATGTACTTCAATACTGCTGCTGATGATGCCCACATATAGAAACTCTAAATATTTTTTGTTTAATATGTAATAATATATTTTTACACACACACACACAAGTATATATACATATATATATATATCATTTTATTTATTTATTTGTTTATAAAGCTTTTGGTGTATTTGTATGGATAAATCTAGCTAAATAACACATTGTTACATGTTCCTCATAATGATGAATACTGTTTCACACACAATTAAATAAAATATGACGGAATTCTTTGGCCTTTTTTTTGTGACAGAAAGGCGAAAAATGAAGGGATGTAGAGGCGAGTGGAAGTGTAGTCAGTTTCCATGGCAACAACAGGGTGTAAAAAGGCTTGTTGGCCTTCAATGTGCCTGTGGTGTGAAACATTCATAATTGGCCGGGGTTAATGCGTCGGCGGTCGACAATCACAACATCCCGTCCATCACCCACACGTCACAGTGATGTACTGTTACTGAAATGATGCTTGATTTATTTACGGATTTCTCCCTCTGTGCTCCAGTTTTGATGGATGACTGACAGTAGGACGATTCTCGTTTGTTCCTCTAATTATTACTGTTGTTAATTTCTTCAAGATCACAGGCAGGAGTTCCTCGTGGGTCACATTTCTTTTGATTATAGCTGTTATTATTTAACGAAAAATAATTCTTTCCGTGTCATTGATTTACCTTTGCAGCAGTAACATCAGCTTTTTCTCTTTTGTTTTATTTCAGAAAGGTTAACAAGTGCTACCGGGGTCGATCTTGCCCAATAATTGTTCACTGCAGGCAAGTATAACTGTTCGAACCTTGTGACAGTGACTGGCCCTGCTGAATTAGGACAGCGAGTGTTTGTCATGCCCTGTGTGTTGGAGGGGAGAGGCTGTTTATTTAACCCGCTCAATCCATTTACTCTGTCTGGTTCCACCGGAGCTGCTGTTTAGACCACGGACTGTTTCTTATGTAAATACTGTGGCGCAGACCTGCTCAGCCAAAGACCCTTTCCATTTCCCATTTGGTTGAGTTAGTTAACTGGACTTGATTGGTTCGTATTAAACACCAGGTATCTGTCTGACCACTTTTAATAGTCACATCCTGTTAAGTCATGCATGGGGCCAGTAAGCCCGCTCTCCCTCTGAGGGACTGAGTGTCTAGCAGTGGATTAATGAAGCTGTGGTGCTCAGGCAGCTCTCCTGTTTTATTGGCCTTGCCTTTATTAGAGAGATGTCCACGCCTTGTTTGCAATTAACATGCAGAGCCGTTGAATGGCCGGCAGGCACAAAGGGAGGCTTTTCATGGGGCTATCTCTGGAGTAATGGAAAAGCAAGGCTCTCCAAAAAGCTGTTCTTGAACCGCCCCTGGCCTCTCAACCTCTCTTCTGCTCCTGAGGTGCATGCATTTAAAAGCTTTTGTCCCCAGCGTGCTTTAGAAACCATTCCTCTCTCTCCAATAGCCAAGCAACTCTGTAGACCACACATGCACTCATGTGCAAAGGTTTAGCATAATTACATCTATCGGAAATATGTAGTTTTATTTGTATATTTCCATTCAAATATAACATGTTTATGTTAGTATTATGTTAGTATTCTGTCTCACAAGTAATATGTTTTCTACAAATAGATAGGTGTGCATAGACTAATTTCCGTTTAAATATTCTTGACAGTCTCATGGCAGATGTAGATGTAAATGAGCAATTTGTGTCCTTATAAGAATAACACTGTGAGATTAAAGCATCTCACGCTGCCACCTTAATGATCTCTCCCTCTCTGACTCTGCAGCGACGGAGCAGGCAGGAGTGGGACTTACATTCTGATTGACATGGTCCTCAATAGGATGGCTAAAGGTAACGATCAATGGCTTCCCTTTCACTCTTTCTGCTTGAAGCGTTGCCAGGGCAACGCCAAAGCCTCTCATTTGCCACGGAGGGTCTTGGGGATGCATTAGAGGGTGACTTCTCTGAGGCCTGGAGAGGCAGCGGAGACAGAGGCCGACATGCAGGGAGCTCCTGGGAATGAGAAAAGAAAAACAAAGAGAAAACACAGAGAATGGAAATGAGAGAGAAAAACCTTCGCCCACATTAGTAATTATCTATTAAAGCAACTTTCACACCGTATTAACCTGCATCAGCACCTGCAACATGAATTTAGATAGCACATGCATGGAAATGAAATGTTTAAGGTTTAATGTTTAATGTTTAAAACGATTTGCTTTTTGCTTCAGTGGTTTAAATCAATATGTAATATTAAATAGGAATGTTGTTCTTATTTGATTTGATAATTGATTTTTTTTTTTTTTACATTTATTTCCCTCTTTTCCACAATTACACTTTAACCTGAACACTGTCAGATGGCAGGAATCAACAAGATGCATTTCCATTTTTTGGTTGGCCCCTGAAGTGCACCCTCACTCTCAGATTTTACTATAAAAGTGGCACCTTCAAAGGGGTTTTTCTTCATTGTTGCACCTGCTAAAATAAGCGTATTCAATATTTTCCTGATACAAAAGGAACCACAGAGTGGGGCTCAGAGTTAACTGCTAGCTGTCAGTCTGATTTCTCAACCCTCACAGTTGATAATCATGTATTTCTGCAAAGAAAAAGTGAGCCGCGTACACGCTTGCAGCCATTAGAGCAGCTCATTTAAAAATTGGCTTGATTGAATTGACGACAGGCTCGTTTGATGTGGGACCGCATACAGATTTAATTTTTTCCATTGACCTCAAAATTCCGAAGTTAGTTGGTCTTGTAGTCAAAACTCAGCTCAATGATTTGATTAAAGAAAACATTTGTGGTCAGGGGGTACCACCACACCATGTGTGTAGATCTCTGGCTGCTTTGTTTGAGAAAACCTTTTTAGCTGAACCTCTGCTGCGGCAAAGCGGGAGTTTGGGCTTAACAATACTCTCAATGTGCATGAATAGAATTAAACTTCTCTCGTATTCTTTTCAGATATCCAAGTTAGAAGCATCTTTTGTTGCTCTTGAGCTGTGTTCCTCCATTGTTTGGCCTGCTCTTTGCCCTTTAACCTCTGCCCTTTATCCAGCCTTTCTGTATGCCCTGCTCTGGCATTAGAGTTCAGGCAGAGCAGGTTAAGAGAACGAACGGCCAACTCCGATGTAGACCTTTCCTTCACTGTCTGTAAAACAGTAATAAGACTGACCCTTCTTGATGGAGTTCAAGCAGTTCAGTGACAAATGCGCTGTTGTCCGCAGTGATGAAAGCTTCCACCCGCTCTCTTTTTAACCTTTTGTTTTCGGCCACTGGAACCAAATGCATGAAATGCACATAAGCTCACTCTCCAAAGCTTCATTCTTTGGTCAAAGAGCCTCTCCTCAGCTTAACTTTGGATTCCAGCCCGTCTGAGACATGAAAGTCTTGTCGGAGCAATGGAGTACCTTTGAGTGCTCAGTCCAGCTGCATTAAATCCTGCTTTTTCGCTCTCATTCACACACGTGTACAATCGTGTTTTTTGCTCTATCTCCCTTTCTTCCTCTCTGCCTCAGTTTCAAAAACATCGTTTCAAGGGCTTTTTCTACATCCCTTTTTTCCTTTTTTTTCAACCGAGCACTGGTTTGCAATCCATACAACTGAAGGCAAAGTACTGTTTTCCAGTGAAACATCACAAAGGCAGCTCATCCTGAATGAAGCAACTGTTGCACAGCTATTGGAAAGACTGATGATAAATGATTTTTGAATGATTTTAATTGTTGTTTCTCACGTTCATGCGTGCACACAGTCATTTAATCTTTGAATGTGCACAGAGAAGGCTGCATGTAGTGCTTTTGAATATGTTATTGCCCATTTCCCAGACCGCCAAAAAACATCCTCTTGCATATTTTATCAAGAAACAGTCCATGGCTCTCCTCCAAGTCTTTCGAGGGATGAATGTAATAATTTTCAATCGCTGCCCTGTTCCAAAGGGAGCCCGGTATAAAAAGAGATTGACAGATGTGAGCTGGATTACTCCACTGCTTTGAACTCATTCCAATTTTCGGTCTGTTGCAGGTGCTAAAGAGATTGATATTGCCGCTACCCTGGAGCACTTGAGAGACCAGAGAGCTGGCATGGTCCAGACAAAGGTAAGGTCCCCAGCTTTGAGTTAGAGTGGTGGGGGAGGTGGGATGTGGGGGAAGGGGTAGCAGTCATTCAGAGAGACTATTGTCTGCTTCATGTGCACTGGATCAGGGGAAATGATGGTGTAATTGATAACTGCTTCAGGATTAGAAAAACATTGTCTTGGAAAACGATAACTCCACATTTATCACGTGAGAAAGAATGACCTGAAATACTTTCTCAGAAAATGTTTTCAATTGAAATTTTACACGATTTTGTACCAATTTCTTTTGTGTAAACATCTTCAACACTAGTTTAGAGAGAATATATTGATCATAGATTAGATTAGTTTATATAAACTATTATTAAGCGAAAGTAATGTAATAAATATATGCTATGTTTCTCCAGCTATCCAAAATCCAAAGATGTCCAAGCTTTGATTAAATACATTTGAAAAAACAGCATCCTCCTGTATTTCTGAATCTTTTAACCTATGTTTATAGAATTCTTGCTTTAATGAAGCATGTAACTGGTCATATAAGTAAAAGAATGTTCTATTTTTACTTTTTTCTTCTGTAAATCTCAGTGAGTTGCAGCACTTGCTTACTTTAGCTGCCAAACATAGTGTCACAGCAGGTCAGGGAGTAGTTTATACAGCATTTCCGCTCATCTGTCCTTTTTGTTCCTCTCTCGCAATTGAAGAGAATAGCAATAACTATAATGACAAAGGCAAACCTCATGTAGCAGTGGGTGATAATATTTATGTGAACCGCTTGCTAACAGACTCCAGTGTTCTACGATGGTTCATTAATGCTGCCTTCACAGCTGTGTTCTGTTCAGCCGAGAAAAGCTTTTCAAGCCCTCTCTTTTTCTTCCCTGACACCTCTAAGTGAAATTATTTGACTTAGAATATTGTTATTCCACTTTGCAGCTTCATGCTGGCTCCACACAAATTAGATTGCAATGAGGTATGAAATTTAGAGTTACATTTTAAGAATTGGATAACCCGTTATTGTTTTTTTTCCCCTTCATGATGTTTCCACTTTATTTTTAGATTTTAAAAAAGAACATTAAATCCCCGTCTTTCTTGTTGCTGCTTTTGACAGACAAAAAACTGCAGTAATTACAAGATGTGTGGCTGTTTTCGTCCTCGCCACAATCCAGAGATTGATCTCCCCCCAGTGGTTTAAATGCGAACAGCTAAGCATACGCAAAACCTCATTTTGAAAGTATGTCCGAGCTCTCAGCTCCAACGGAGAATAGCTTATCGCCTGTAACCGTGGTGTGGATAAAGATGGATGCACTTACATATTTTGTAGTCCCATAACACCTTCATAAGGCACATAAAAATAAAAACTCCACATAATCTCCACAGTAAAGCGAAAGGTACAGCCATCAGTGACTCCTCTGTATTGATTTAGCTTATCCTGAGGCCAGACTATGGCAGGCTGTGTTGACACATCTGAAGCCTGTTCCCTCCAAACTCCTACGTAGCCCCTCTCTGTGAGAGGACCCTGTGGCCTGCATCCTGGGTAGAGGAGAGGAATATAAAAACATCAGGTCCTTGGGGCAAACATCAATCAGCTCCTCTGGGAATACTATAAGGCTGTTTCACATTCAAACGCACAAGCTAAAAAAAAAAAAGAAAAGAAAAGCTGAGAGACAGTTTGACTCAAAAGCTCCATTTTAAGACACACCTGGCTGGATCAATGTCGGTCCTGGCTGCGTGTGCACCTCAGGTTGAAAGCTCACAGAGCGGTTCAGCTTAAATCTGTGGCCGAGCCCCGGCAGGTTCACCAGATATGAAGGAGAAAGAGGAGGCGGCAGCCGCCAATCAATCTGAAATGGCATTCTGGAATTGCCACAGAATAAAACTGTATCCTTCCTTTCCTTCCTTGTCTTTTCCCTTCCTCCCCCACCTCTTCCTCCTGCTCAGGAGCAGTTTGAGTTTGCGCTAACAGCCGTGGCAGAGGAGGTGAACGCCATCCTGAAAGCTCTTCCACAGTGAAGGCATCACACCTCCCTTGCTTCATCTTCTTCATCTCGCTCGCCGAGCACATAAGATCCAGCATCTCTCTCTGCCCTCTCCCCTCTCCTTCTCTCATCTAAGCCTCCTCTTCACCTCGATATAAAACTGTATACTGAATGTCGTGCCAGGTATCTCATCTGGATCCATATTCACTAACTGCAGAGTGGGACGGTTGATCTGTAAAAGTGGAAACACAGGTCAATGTTCCCTCTGCGAGTTTTCTGAATATGGGCCCTTGGTACTGTGTAACTTTGATGTCTCAACCACTTCATGTCTGGGATACAGAAAAAATAAAAAATAAAAAAGAGAAAATGGGGGTACCTTTACCTCAGAGGCCATGTTATTTTGTTCACTTTGTGTGACTAACCTCCTTGAATTCTCAAACTATTGTAATATAAATCAAAGAATAACTAAAAGGATCATTTTTGCTTTAAGAATAACAAACACTGACTGCTCATATATTTTTTTGCTGATCATCTAATCGATCAAGAGACTAATCTCTGCAGTACATGTCTGTGCTACAGTCAGATTAACAGTGTGTGAATTTAATTCCCATCTGTAATAAAACATGAAACTGAATCAAAACTGTCCTCTAATGAAGTGATGTGCTGGGTCCATGTCGCATTTTAGAAGTCAGCTGCTCACCCCCTGCGTGATCTAAATCATATACTATATACTCAGCATCACATGTACAGATGTTTAGGTGTGCGTGTTGTTGTATATTTGGCCTCAGTATTAAACCACAGATTCTCTGAGTCTGAAGAAGCCTCATAAATCATTATCATTGCAACATATCAGCTGTTTTATCTTCCTCAGTGTGCTGATTTTACATCTTTTTTTTCATAACCATCTCTGTTAATATTGAATGTCCAATATACAAAATGAGATAGTTATGTCCTCTATTTAGAACTGCTGTCATCCTGTATCAATACTAATAATATGATATAGAGTATAAATAAGAAGTATGGTCCTCTATCACTGGTATATTGTGATATTTTGTGCAACATGACAGATTATTCTCTCTGTATAATGACAATGAATGACTTTATGAATCCCTCTATAGTGCTATCTGATATACACACTGAGAGCTTCAGTGAGAACTATATATTTTGTGTGAGAATTAACATTCAGACAATAAATCTGAATAGACTACACCGCCCTGATGTGTAATGTTGTTTCTGATACACTCATAAAACAGGACTCAGGAGGCCTTGGGTGACTGTGTATCACCAGTTTGTGGGTTTTGAAGAAGGTTCATCCCTTCATTAATGACTAATCCAATGACAAGGCTTCCTTCAGCTGCCATTTCCATCAGAGGGTTTTAGGACACAGTTGTTTGTGATTATTTATCATTTTAACATTAAGTTACCTCATTCTTGTTAGTAGTTACACAAGGACTGACTTAGAGCCGATATGGTGTCCATGTGACTCAGTTCTTACCCTAAAAATGACTTGCAAACATCAAATAGATGCTTTCCAAATATTAAAAGTATAGTGTAGTACAACATGAGGATTTTTATGGAAAAAAAACACAAAATCAGTCTTAAAATAAATGGAAAATTCTTGTCAGAACAAAATTGACTCAAGAAGTAGACTGAGTCGGGCACATGTTCAAAGGGTTCATTTAAAATCCAGTTGTATGAAGTGGTGAGTCAGTGTTTTGTACAAAGGGCAGGATTTCTTTTTCCACAGAAGTAGACACAGTGTGAACATCCTCGATGTTGCCAATAATGCTCTCGGGTTATCTAGGTCTTAGTTTAGGTTTAGATCAAGGATAGTCGGCCCCATTCCTTTAGGTTAAGATTGTCCCTCAAGAAAGCTTTTCTGATTCTCCAAATGATGAGCACTGTGATGCTAACCAATCTTAAGTATTTAAAACAAACCCACTCAGCTCTAATCATGAAGCAAATTGCACACATCCTGCTGAAGGGACATAAATGTCAGCTGAAGGATCAACACCTATAACCTGATAAAATCCTAAATTGATCTGTACAGCTTCAGTAGATAATTTATTCATCTTTTTATGAAGTCATTGCGCACAGTTTATAAAGGAGGTTACTCTTTCAGAAAATATTAGCACAATTAAATTAAAGATATCCTAGTTCATATACTGGCAGAGCAAAGATAACCTTTGTTATCCATTAAACCGCGTACATGGCACATCCCTAACAGGGCGTAAAATAAGCAGTAAAAGAAATGACTTGGAAAGCACAATAAAGATTCTATTACGAATGAAAACACACTGTCAAGAATCATATATAGAGAATGTATAATTTCCTACCGCTCAACAATATGTGCGTGGGGTTTTCCGTGCAAATGCATATTCATGTATGTGCTGCTCGTTGACATGTCCCTCCCTCCTCTGACAGTTTCAATAGCTGGGAATGAGGCTTCATGCACTTCCTGAGGCCTCATTTGCATATGATTCACTGATGAGCTGTCATTGCTAACCAGCAAGACCAAACCCAAGCCCTATTAATATTCACCCATTCAGGTTGTAAAGCACACAAACCTAATCAGCTTAGAAATTACTGTATGGAAACCATAATTACGCATGTTTAATTGGTTATCATCTGATGGGTACAAGTTTATTAGAAAATGTATTCATGGTAATTGCTTCCTGACGTATCTGGTGTGTTACAATAGCATGTGATATCCTGTCAGCTCCCATTTTAGAGGATTAATGCGTTCCGAAAAAGTCACGAAATGAGATATTGTGTATAGCCACTTTGAATACTTGGTTTAACTCAAAATAATTTTCAATTTTAGGGTTTATAATTTACCACTTCAGCTTGGATAAACTCGTGGACTAAGTGAGTGAAAATCAGCATATCAAAGAGATGAATGTGACAGAAAAGTAACCAACTAACTGTGTAATCCATATTTTACCAGTAAATATTCCTAAACCTGTCTTGCAAGATGCAAGATTTTTGCTGTAAAAATCAGCGAGAGCAGCAGAAAAAGTGAAAAATCACCAGCATGAAATGAGGGAACACATCTTGAAAGAGTTTGGAAGGAAAGCGGTCAGAAGATATTGAGTCATTCAGTCCAGAAACAAGCAGATTAAAACACTGTGCAGGCCCCTTAATGGGGCCTCCACGCCACCAAGAACGTCGAGTGGGCCTTTTCAGCCATGGGCCTCAGCGAGTCTTACAGTTCCATCACACTCTTTGATGATCTCTCTACGGTCTATTATAATCACTGTTGGATCCCAGTCCTTCTGACACACTTGGAAATTCATATGGTTTGAAGAGGAAATGCAAATTCAGCCAAAAGTTTTTCTTAAAATAATTCTTTCTTTCGTTTTTTCGTCATTGAATCTGTGATTCCCCAGCAGCAGTAATTTTTCTGGACTGATTTGGTACAGAAGAAATACCTGACACATGTGTCAGGGGGAGAAATAGTCATGCATGGAATAATACAAATGGAAGAAAAAGCAACAAGCCAGCTGACCCAAAATCCCTTTTAAACTTAACATGAACAGCATCCATGAAAGCGTTCTGATGGATTGTTCTGTGTCTACAGTCCATGCACAGTTTTCTGCCAGGTCCACAGAACTCATGAACAATGAGCTTGCTGCTTGTTTTAATGCCATGGCCCACAGCTTGATTCATGCTGCTGCAACTGAAATGCTGTGTTCAAGGTTCAAAGGCTGAATTTTGTCCCATGTGTTCTGCGTCTTTTTAACTTCTCAAAACACTTTTCATGTGTATTCATTCAAGCCACACAAAATGGTTGATTAATACAGCTTGGAATACAAAGCGACAGATTTCTTTAACTAAGGTCTAAGAACTATTAGATATTCAAATGTAGATGTCAGATGACAGATTATTTTAAATTCAATATGGTTAAGAGGCTTTTTGCCTCATTAATGTCTACAGGTGGCCAAAATGGGCATTTTGTTTTTAAAAGTCTCCTTTTAAAAGTCTCCTTTTTTTCATTTTTCTTTATTAAAGTAACACAATTAAGTTGGATATTTGTTTCTATCAGGTCTTGGGGTACATATGCAAACTAAATCTACCAAACTGATGAAATGTCTGATGTAGTGATGCTAACAGCCAAAGTTTGGAGGAGCTGTTGTGAAATGAGTCATTTGCATTTGTTTATGTTGGAAACATTATTTTAAGGTACTTTGGACAAGTTTACTAAATCAATTATTCTGTGTATTAGAGCTTGTCCCATTAAATTAGCTTGGAGAATTTGACTGTAGCCATAATCAGATCTAATAAATTGCTCAAAAATAATTGCTGAGCTCACCAGTGAGAAGCACAGCTGCTCAGCCTCTCAAACGCCGTTCACTTTTTGGAGCCAAGTCCGAGAGGTGCTTTAGCCCACCGATCTTAGACAAAGAAAAAGAAAGAAAAGCACCTGCAGATCATTCATTCATCTTTTGAAGCCTAACAAGCAACATGCTGACAAACATGTTGTTTCCCCGTGGAGCAGAGTTGGGAAATCCAGCGTGTTTGCTTTGTGGGATGCTTTCCAGGTTTTTACAAAGAGGAAAAGCCTTGTTTTTCTTTACTGGTGTTGTTGGGAGTGAATGGAGAGCAGATTGCAGGGGCTGGGCCTCTCATCTCTGTCCAAGGCCTCAGTACCTTTGATCATCTTAAGAAATAAACAAGCTTTTAAATTTGGCACTTGTGCCTTGTGATTCTCCTCTTCTTCTCTGTCTCTCTCCATCAAAATGCTGATCCTGAGAAAATAGATTTAGCTTGAATACTTATCACCACAAGGACGGACTCCCACTATGTTGTCACAAAAAACTTTTGCCTAAGTCTGATCTCTTTCTTCATATCAGTAATCAGTGTGTTTTAATCACATGATTTGACACTTCAGGTAACATTTGTGGTACGAACAGTTTAACAGTTGTTTAAGTAAATGATGCAATGTTTTATTCCTGAAAGATAACTAAATGTGGCTATTGGCTATGCATTTAAAGTTGATCTAATTGTGATATTATATACTCATAACTCATTTTA